GTAAACTATATTCATTGGCAAACAATAAAGGTCTTCGAATCAGCCATTCGAATGAATGGAATGAATAAACAAAACAGATACGGTCCAGGTTCTGTTATGCTATGAACGGTTGTGTGCCCAAGGAAATGACAAAAAAATGTCAAACAGTAGCCAGGTATAGCCTCTTGACAGAGCGGTCAACAAGCGTGAAGTGTTCTACTTCAAACGCCGGTAAGAAAAGGAACGATTTTGACATGATGTTTAAATTACTAATTACGCAGAGTGTAAACTGAAATTACCTTCACGCGTTTTGCTTTTGTAATTCCATGTATATAAAAACTGGTACTCAGTTTATAGAGAGCTAATGATCCATGGCAATATTCCAGATTATAGCGTTCCACATTTGACCATTTTACTTCGCCAGAAACCTCACAAAGTTTCTCTCCGTCAAGGACACAAGCCGCCATTTTGTTTAGCGGGAAAAATAACTTTAATCGCAAAGACTTAGGGGATACCCCTATTTTCGAGATAGAGAGAGGGGTGGGTTGAGAGCTAGTAAGTTTGACGAGGCGGGGAGGGCACTCACAGGGGGCTACCAGATGTTTTCAACAATATGATCAATGGAGCTCATCATTTTATTTCGTTACTCTGCGGTGAGACATAAAATTTTGTAACAGATTGCAGCACATCCAGGTATGGCCAAGGTATAAGAAAAAAGAAATTAATCACAGGTTAAAAAAAAAACTGTTAATCACACACATAAAGAGTTTATGTGTGTTGCCAGGAGCCCATCACCTGGTAACAAGCTCACGCACTAAGTTTCTGATGCTTGTATCATAATCAAGCCCCACCACTTTTCCCTGGGGACGGTGAAGGGGATGACCATGTCATAAAGTTAATGCAAATCAGAAATATATGGTTGAAGTCAGAATAGAGTTCTTACAAATTTAAGATTTGGAAAATGTGAAAGGTAATTTAGGTCTAATTAAAAGCATAGGGTGTTACCTTCCCAAGCCAAGTTCAGTTTAAATCAATCCCTCAACATTTGTGACAGCCTTACTATATGTGCTTAAGCTTCAAGCCAAATAAAAACTTTGCTAGGAAAGGGGTGGGAAATGTTTTTTTACCCCATAATATTTTTTATTGCCAAAAATTCTGAGTAACAAGCTCAAGCAATTGAAGATTACTACCCAATTATCGGAGTATTAAAAGGAAGTTGTGTGACATGACATTTACATATTACTGGTTAGGTTAAAATTGAAATAGGAGACATAATGATTGAAGTGATATGTCTTAGGGTAGACTGCACTAAATTTGTGAAGTGGTGACTGTTAATGATAATCAACAAAAGAAGGATTTGATGATGGAGAGTAGAGTGTACCCCACAAGTTCAGCACAGTATGAATGTAAAAAGTGTGAAACAAGAGTCAATGAGTACAATCAAGCACCTTAACAAGATCTTAAACAGTTTACTGCACTCTATGATTACTCAGATAAATTCCAGAAAAACAGTAAAATCATCCTCAACAATTTATTGTGAGTTTCATTATATACCAAGGTAACAATAAAACTCAGTGCAAAATTTCCTAAAAAAGCCATACACCATAACAGTTCATCAAAAGTTCTTTACAAATTCTTTCTAGTTAGTCACACTTGCACAATTTAGTAGTCAACATAAATGTAAACAAAAGTAGCTGGTCTTTGAAATAAATGGTATCATGGCACCAATCCCTCATCAATGTTCACTGAGTGGTTTGTCACGTGTAAGCATCAGATAAATTCCAGGGCCCAGGATTCCAAATAAAAAGGCAGAAAAGGCTGCAACATGTTGAACAGGAGTCTGTTGAGAAAAGAAGTGTCACCATGTGATAAAATACATGTATTAATTTTATGTTCAAATTTACACTGCTACAACTAGTCCCACTTTGCATAGCTTTACGTTATTTACGGCACCAAGTGAGCTGGTATTCTCCTAGCAGGCCACACTTCTTTGCTGGTATGAACTTCAAACACAATTTTAAGGGTGGTATTGGTGTCTACATAAAGAATTTCATGTGTCACTGCTGTATAGGGTTTGTTCAAGGTATGGTTCCCCTGAAGAATTCCCTAATAAGTTAATTACAAAAGAGGAGTAGTGACCTATATTTGAAAGTTGTCCTTGAATGATAGTTGTTGTTAAAAGCATTTTAATTTTTCTCTGTCTGTCTTCGCATGTTGGAAGTTCCAATGAATACAACACGATAGACACAGACAGTTTGAGACCCAAGGACTCTACGCTTTGACCTCAGTAGGGTCAAAACTGGCTTGATGCTTTATATAGTTTTCCTTTCATTAAACACGACATGAAAAATTCTCCGGTCTTGTTTTTAAGCGAATGTCGACATCGATAGCTCGATCACAATTTGCGATCTTATCAAGGTTATATAATATTGCCCCTCTGAAAGTTAACGATGATATGGCATGTTGTGTGTAGTCTGACCACATAAAACATTTTACAACACTTCTCATTACGGTAATCAGTGTAAAACATGATAGGTAGCAATAGTAAACATCTATTTCAATCATCATTCAGTCATTTACGAAGCTAATACAATCCTGCAATTCTTGCAAGAGGTTCAGACGCGTGAAGAGCATTCAACAATTTTAGGAACTACGACAAGATCTCACCAGTCTTTCGGGAGTTTCTGGCCTTCTCCCAGTACTCATGGCTCTTCTTAGTAAGCCAATCCTCATTGTATTACAAGCTCGTTGAAGAAACATTGTCTAATGTCCACCGATTGACTCCTTTAAAACAGAATCCTTATCCGGTAGATGCCGTGCTTCACGTAAAACAAGATGGCGGAGGGGAACAATATTTACCGAAAAGCATCATGGGTAGGTTTAGAGGCTCAGTCCCTCTCGGTCGTAATTTGCTGAGTATTCGTAATTTGACGGGTCAAACAAAATGTTCTTCTCTTTTATCAGGCAGCATATATATGAGTCCTCAAAAGTTTCTGCATAGAAATTTTTCTCTTCCAGCCACCACATTTGACCGTTAACTGCTCTCTATGGCGACTGAGAATACAAAATTAGTTTTATCAACAAATTCTATTACCAGTAATACTTTTCTTTTATTACAATTTATTTTAAATATAACGTATTGCTATCATATGCAAGTATGCAAAAACACATAATTATAATGAGTAACAAGCATTGAAATAAAATTTTCCTCATGTATTTTACAAACACCTTGTCCATGTGCATTATGAAAAGAAGACATGATCATCTCTGTTGTGAAAATTTTTACACAATCCAATGTTTGAAGGAGTTTTGATGCCTTAGCCTTCTCGGATCAATATTAGTATCTGGGCAATGGCACACCTACCCCTCCCCTCCCCTCCCCTCCCCTCCCCTCCCCTAACCCAACAACAGTCAATTGATAACAAGTTAGGGGAGGGGTAGGTGGGCCGTTGCCCAGATACTGATATTGATCTGCCTTCTCGAGGTAACATGATTCATGTAGAAATTTGTTACATCACTAATGAAAAGATTATCTTTCTAGTTACATGTAAAACATCTTTTTCTGGCTCCACTCATTAGACTCTTTCATAAAGTGGCTCTGCCTTCAAACCAAACACTTCATAGTCTTTTACTGTGAAGTTGTAGTCTCCCATGAGAAGACTGGTTGAGGCCTGGGGACCATCATAGGAGTGAGGTAAGTTTGAGTAGGACTCAGGCCTCTCATGACACTCATCACTGATACACAGATCTGCCCCTGCCCCAAACATGGGTCCATATCTGACAGAGAGAAAAAAATGATAAATATTAGATATAAAATTTCTTCCTAAAACTGATTCTGACTATGGTCTGCCAGACCTTCATCCTTCATTCTGAAGAATGTACTAAGCTTGATTCTCAAATAAAACAGGTATACAGAAAAACTTAGATTAAAAATTACAAAACAAGTCACCACAACTTTTCAGTCTCGATGTAGTTTCACTACTAATTTTTTGCAAGTTTTAACCCTTTAACTCCAAAGATCTGATTGTTAATTCTTCCCTCTTTCTACTACACATTACCTTGTTAGTTAGTTATGAGAATTTGTTGCGAGATCAAGATAACATCTTCTGCCTGATTAGTTTGTGTATTCTTATTACCTGTTTGTTGGATAATGTATGGGTATTTTTTGTTGGAGGTACATGTTAATCACTTCTGGGAGTTTAAGGGTTAAATAATTTGATTTCTTTGGGGTTCTTTTAAATTGAGTGAGCATAGCTTTCAACATAGCCTGTGGTGTAATTCTTTCCATTTCACAGTTGAATGGAGACAAGTGCAAGGCAAATGTAAATTGCAAGTTATACACAAGGAGAGGAGCCCAAAAAAATAATGCGTTGGCTCACACTTCACAATTACCTTGTGCTAGCCTTCGTTTGACTGAACAATGCAAAAAAAAAAGGGAAGCCTAATCTGCAGGCTACTTTCAACACTTAAATGAAAAATTATCTAAAAGTTACTTTTGTCAACAAACCTTGGATGATGTAGAGTAGCATATTTAGGATGTGTTACATCATACTTGGTTGGAGGAACACCTTCAGAATTCACCAGTGTAAACAAAAATGCCCTGTTAATTATAGGTAAAAAACATTAAGAAATGTAGATTGGAAGATACTCCTAGAACCTTTGATCATATTTATGGGTTGAATTTAAATAAAAAAATATATTTATGTATAGAATGTTACCTTAAAAGGCAGGACATTTCAAAGGTAAAACAATTTTCAGCAAATTTTAAACAAGAAACCCACCTTTCAGATGGCATGTATTTTCCACGAGGAATATCACTTCTCCATGGCTGATCACTGAATCCACCACAAACATTTCCATTTGTTCCCTGATATATGATGTTGACATGAGAATGCATGAAAGAGAAAAACTGGCTTGTAAAAAAAAACCATAAGAGAGTTCTGAGGTCTGAAACCTCAGACTTAGTTCCTGGGAACTTCCAGAAATTAAAGGGATGCATGAATAAAGTTCTACATGATTGACTCAATGTCAAATTATCTTTATGTTTCACAAGGAAAGAGACCAGCAGTAATAGATCTTTGTTCTTCATAACAGAAATCTAAAAGATAAAACTAGAGGGCAATTCAAAAGGCTTACTTGTACTTATATCTTCAGGGTGTGAAATTGCGCCTAACACAATTGCCAATGCAACTAAATTTTTCACTTTGGCAACCAAATCCTGAAAATCAGTCGCCAAATTGGCGACTGGAATGTTTCATCATAACCTTACCAAGAGATATAAAATTAAAAAGATTTGCAAAGACAAATCAGCGGCAAACTTCCTCATTAAGTTTGTTTCCAAAATGCAGCACATGCATCTTGATCAATAACTAGACGCCATCATGGATTTAGGTGGCCTTGAACTTTGTCTATCATCCATCCTAGTGTCCACTTTGTAGTATGTTAAAGATAATTTTGGAGGGTCTATCTAGAATGCTGACAGTATAAAAAAAGGTTTTGTTTGTTTTTGAAAATGGCGACCAACTTTTTTTGAATTGGCTACCACTTTGAAGAATTTAGGAGCCAGGGGCTATCAGAAAAAAAAATTAATTTCATGCCCTGATCTTAAGTTGCACTGTCAGAAATATCCCTGGAAAAGTTTTTGCCTTAACCTTTTCACTCCCATGAGTGACCAAGACAGAATTTCTCCTTACTATATCTGTACCATATCATGTAAAAAAGTGATGAGAATTAAGAAAAATATCAATTATGGGATTACTAATTGATCTGATACCAAATTCTCCAAACTGACATAATGAGAATCATTTGGCAGACTGTGAGGAGAATTGCTAATGAAATCTTGGGAGTTAAAGGGTTAATTTTATATTTACTCACAAGAACAACTGTAAATGTGGGTGAATGTCCATCACACTTTGTATGAAATGCTACAGCCGAAAAGCCATCCTTTGAAGCTTTGTAAAGTAACTGCCATTCCTGATATTCATTCCCAAACCAAGTATTGAGCATGTTTTGAAATTTGAGGCAGTCCTTTGTTAGTAAAGTTGAACCATGGAACAACTTTTGAGAAGCTCTTGGTCTTAAACGGGGATCCTCGGCTTTTCTGAAATGGGTCGGCACTGCTGCAAAGCGATACCTTAGAAAAACATATTATCAGTATTAAGCACTAAACTCTGCTTTCACATGTTTTTTAAACTGAAGCACAACATTTTGCACAGTGTGTTTTCGCCCTGAGTGAGAACATAGATAACATATATTTAGAACATGGCCAATTTTTAAGGAGATACTAAAACAGGATTAGTTTCAGGAGGAGCAGAAAATTGATACATTGTCATCTGGTCAAAGATAAATGGTGAAAATTTTATCTTAAACAAGATTAATTACAACAAACAAGACAGTGAAGCTTACCTTTCTAAAGACACCTCCATAGGGACTACTCCAGTTGGTTCCACTTCTTCAGCGTACACACTGCTGTCAATCAACAGCAGTTTGATGTGTTCAATAACACCTGACATTGCCTTAAATACAAAAGTAAGTAAACAACATGAATTAGTAACTCCACTAGATGAATGTGCATTATGGTAGTCGTATTTACTGGATTAAACCTTTGATCCCCAAGAGTGGCCACCATCGCATTTATTCTTACAATAGTACCCCTGAAACATGCAGTAATGTCGCAAGAGGAGAGAAAATGATTATCAGTTAAAGAAGCTCTTGATTGTTAAACAAATTCTCTTTTTCTCTTTCCTTAGGAAATGTATAGAGAACAGTATGGAGAACATACACATTGATATTAGGGCATAAAGGGTTTAACAACACACATACACACACAAACAACTTCCCCACTAAAGCACCATCTTGATGAGACAACCTTGTTCAATAGGGAGATTTAAAAAAGAAAAATTCAAATGCATAATTCTACTTGAGTGGGAAAAAGTGGACAATTCCATTTGGGTAGGGTGGGCTCATCTCCATCGATGAGGTGGTCAAGCAAGGGTATAGCTGAAGGAAGGGGGTGGGAAGGGGGGTTCTGGACTACCTTTGCCTCTCACAGGCACCCCAGAAAACCTTTTTTGGTCACATTAAGTAAGACATGGCATGGGGGTCAACATGACAACCTGGTGAGTACCCCCTGACACAGTGTGACCCCCCTTAAAGAAATACTGGCTACACCCTTGTAAAGGGAAAATGTGACAACACTTTGGATGAAGATTGTGGGTAATAAACAAATAAACTCAGTGTAAATGGCACACCTCTTTAATCTTCTTGTTCTCCTCTTCTGTCCATTGACTGGTTGGCTTGTTTACCCCAGTTCCCCTTTTTGCCCAAAGCAGAACAGCTCGCCAAAGCTCTTCTTCTGACACTGCAAACTTTGTGCAGGAGGAGAGTGAAAATAAAACCTACTGGTAAGTCTAAAATTGGGGATGGCTGCGGGATGAAAGTTGTACCATAGGAGCCAAGTAAAACAACCACCCTCAATTAATTGGAAGAAAAATTCATGCCAGCAATTATATAGCTTGCAGTGCAGGCATCTTATAAGGGTGAATTAATGTTATAAGCTTGCAATTGTTTATCCCACCAGCCATGTTTGATTTGGAGTAAGAGTGGATGGTGGGGTATGGGGTGGGGGAAAGGCAAATATTTACTCCCCCTCCCCATCCCTCTCCTTAATTTTGACTGTTGCACACCCCCTTGGTGCAATTTTCTTTCTCTCCCAAGCCTTCCACTGCCATTAAAATCAAAGATGGCAGGTATAATTTTTGCTGAGGAAATACTGAGCATTTGCTTTCCAAAATCACGCCTGCTCTGCAGACTTGCAATAATAGTCTCTAAATGATGACACTTTCCCTTAAAATACAGGTAGATATTCAAGGAAGGTACCAGATGAAAAGGCTAGAATATTTATTTGAGACTTGTTTTCTCAGTTCTTAAATTTATGTCTGTGGAATACACAGGTTCCCCTTAATCATGGTGTGGTGAAGAGGAGTTTGCACTGAAACCACACAATACCTGTTCCAAGTATTTAGAGAGCAAAACCAAGCAAAATTAAAATTTTGGGTTGGGTTACAATCCCACCTAAACTTCTCTCAATTTTTTCACTCAGTTACAACTATGGCAGCATTTACAATTGCGCTTTATTTTACTGACCAAACACTTGGAACAGGTTATCACACAAAGGCTCCTCGACCCTAACTCTTGAAGTTTGAACACCATCAACTGTTAAACTTGTCACACGTACCTGTTCACTTGACACAAGTCTGATCATTGCTGGTTTAGGAAGGAGAAGAAACCCTTCAGTTTTTACAACCTCTTCAGCATTTTCCTCCATAAATCCAATGCATTTATCTACAAGTGAAGACATGCCTCTTGCATTGAATCCCCTGGAAAGCGACATTGCATCTGCTAGAAATTCTGAAGCACTTTCAGTACTCAGATTGTCCATAAAATACTGTTCACAGGCTAACTGTAAATCAGTTATTTCCATATCCTCTGCTATTCTCAGCATTTCAAAGGCTGTGCGACTGTGAAGTTCAACCTAATAAAAGTGCCTTTTTTTCAATTTGGGTCAACAAAATCAGGTGTAATTGTGAAGAACAACTCCCTAAAAGAACCTCTTGGCCAACTATTGGCCAAAAGTTAACCCAATATTTGCCGCCAGTTTTAAGGAAAACATCTCAGCTAGGTAATCTGTCAGTAAGTTTTTGGTAACACTAGTACTGTATTGCCTTATTTATCATCCAAACTACAGTGGATAGAGACCCTATATGAATTCTGGGGTATATCAAATACTGACAATTAAAGTTTTTGTAATGGCTGACCTGTTGGTATCCTTTTAGTTCTATGTCAGTGGCCTGTCAGCTGATAGCTGACCCACAGTTGTTAAACGGGAGCTGTTCTTCATGATTACCAAATCACGACCATAATAGCTGAAATATGTGAATTTTGCATCTAGCACCGAATTTTAGGAGTAGAAGGACGCGAAAGGCATTTGTATCAAGAAGCAGATGTCTTATTCTGACAGCTAGAAAGCTGTTTCAAGTCCGAGAGTAAAAAAACATTTACCACTGAATGAAAGTGGCTTGAGGTTAAATTTTTATAATCTACAACGCTCATACGATCTAAAGATAAAAAAAAATTCAAACCCTGTAGTTTCGCGTCACTAAACAAATAACTTCACTGCTTGTTATTCGATGTTAAATATACACAAAGTATGTACAACAATCAAAATCAATTTTCAGTGGCATTTTACGAGTTACCTTTCCGGTATACAAAAACTTCAAAACCTCGCGGAACACATCAGGTCGGAATTCGGGCTTTCTCACGGTCAACTGTGAATGAACCGCTTTAGAAGACCACAGCTCTCGTTTTCTATTTTGGAAATGTTTACATCTTGTTACCAGTATAAGCCTGTGAGCGTATATTGCAGTTTCATCATGGCCTACTAGAAACAACACATCTGCAGAGTCCCGATCGTCGATTAAATTTTGCAAATCAGACAAAAGCGCCTCTACTCCGAGCCAAGTCTTGTCCTTGGCTTGGAAGGAATCCATGTTAGGTTGGCAAACAGGGTAAAAACAACCAGGCGACTTAGGCGCTCCAATCAGTACCAACTTTCCTCGGTCATTACATGCATAGGCCTGCAATATGTACTGAGTACAGGAAACGCTTCTTACATTTACCAGGATTACTATTTTTCCCATTAAAGGTTTAGCCCACTCGAAGAAAAAATAGAGGACACATTCACATATGAGGAAATTTTTATCAGTAGTTAAATTTTTTTGATCCAGCCAATCTAGTTGGCGTAGATGAGTATTTTTGCAAAATTCTTAGAAGTGTCTCAAAACCATGTGACCCTTTTGGAACTCAGTGACAGGGGCCATCTGAACTCTAATAAGCAGTAAGGATGCGACAGATTTATTCAACTTGTATCGCCATCATCATGTCTTATTGAAATAACAAAGGTAAGTATTTAGATAATTCCCTTTGTGACAGCAGAAAACTTGAAGAGATCACACTAAGCTGTACCTTCAACGATTTAAACGTGGGCCGCTGGCTCGTAGCTAAGAAAGTTAAGTAAATTTCTTTAATTCATGTTCCCCAATTATGATTAGCATCTAATTCTCCTTATAATGTCACCCTTGAATTAAACATTAAGGTTATGAGAATAATGGAAATGATCACTTATTAAAGAAGCTCATGATTGTTAAACAAATTCTCCTTGTCAGCACCTTAGGAAATGTATAGAGAACAGTATGGAGAATATGCATACTGATATAACGAGGTAAAGGGTTTAAGTTTAAAAACTCCTTAGCTTCAGTAGCTTTTGGGGATCATTTTCGCATAGAGTTGTTTTTTAACTGTTCCCATCAGGCTTTGCTTCTCTTCAGGTAATTTTCCCTCGCTTTCTTCTACTTCCTTGGTTGGTAAGCATCCGCCTCGTTTCAAAATCACCAGCACATTGCAGCCCAAAACTAACGCTGCCCCTGTGATACTGTAAATATTGGCAGCGTAATCCAAAAACAGGAGCTGTAAAATGAAGGCTAACGCAATGTCCAGGGTGCGCACGAGAGCGACCACGCCTGCCCTCTCTAACTGCAGGGATTTGGTGAGGAGTGCTTGGCCACCTTGAGTAAAGTAGTTGAAACGAATTTGTTAGAAATCTTTAAGATCGGGTGATCAATAGTCCCTTCCCCCCTCATCCCTCTCCTTTCTACCCACTTACCCCACCCCTCCTTCCAAAGCGTTATGAAAAAAGATTGTTTGTCTGGTCAGCCATCCTGGAAGGGAGAGTTGTTAAAAAAACAGGGAAAGTTACTGGTTAGAAAAGGTTGTATATCTGTTTGAAATGGGCACATTTAGCTCATGAACACTGGGCAGAAAGCATACGTTCGAGGTAAATTTAATACCACGTGTAAACAAGTTAAGGTGTAACGAAGTCTTATTCATCTCAGAGTAAATTTAAACCTACCCAGTCCACACATGCCAAGTCCAAAAAGGAACCACTCGTGCGAGTGGCCACATATGACACTCTGGAAAGAACCAGCTGCAAGAATCGCCCCTGTTGTTAAGACCACGCTGGACAGCCCTACATAGAATACTGGCACCAAAAAGTTGACGCCTTTGAGCTTTCTAATCGCGATCAGCGCAATGGACGTCAAAATAGCACCACACAGAGCAACCAGGCTAGCAGTTATCTACAACAAATAAAATGTTCGGCCGTTAGGTATGTTGCCGTTAAAAATTGTTTCTTTTTTAAGGTTGATTGAGATGTGAAATCGCCAAGAAAAAAAAGGGCCCTCACAAACTAAATGACACGAATGTTCTATATTTTGCCTAAGCATGTCTAGGCATTTAACAATTTAACAACTGGATAATAATTTAAAAAATGTAAAAATTAATTTCGCATTTTTCAAGAAATAAAAATCGTTATTTTACCTGTTCAAAGTCGCTTTCTTCGTTGGCTGGCTCTGTCTGTCTTGCAAACAAAAACGTTGGTCTAGCTATCAGTACTACGCCTATAAAGCACAAAAATGTTGCCAAAGCGTCGAAAAGGCCCCATGCCTCCCCTAACAAAAAATGCGCTAGTACTCCCGTAAATATGGGAGAAGAAAACACGATAACAGTGGCATCTGCCAGCGGCATGTGCTGAAAAGCGTAAAACTGACAGCACAGCGCCAACGTTCCCGCGATACCGCGAACGCACAAAAATGGCAAATGTTTGGTGTCTTCAAATACTGGGACTTCGCTGTAGATTAGCGGTGGAAGAACAAAAATAACTTGGACTAGACTTCGGAAGAAGACCACTTCTTGAGGCGGAATTTCTCGAAGCAGCTTGACAAACAGCGAAGAAAAAGCGAAAAATACACATGAAGCCATTGCGAAAATCACTCCTAAGGTTCTCCTTAGTGGGGAGAAATCTTCGGTGTTCTCTTTTTCTTCGGCTTTTTTCTTCTTCGGCCGAGACATCTTAAAAATAAATAACTGCAGCCTACTTCTTCCTGCTTCAGCAAACAAACTGTTTCTCAAACTCAAGAAAAAAAAAATTGTTTGGTTTACTTGCAGTGATTCGGAATAAGCTCACCATCAAAATGCAATTGAAAACAGCGGCAGCATCACGAATTTTATTTCAATAAGCAACTAAAAGATACTTCAATATTCTTTGAAAGCCTGATGTTAAGTTCCCATGAAGATATTTTAAATTGGGTTTTGGAAACAACTGGGGAATTAAAACACTTTTAAAATTGTGATGTAAAAGTAAGGCAGGTATTACATGGTGTGCTCTTTCAATGGCTTCATTTACACCGTACATGAATATCTTCAAAAGATAATTACCTTACTTACTGAGAAGACACCTGTTTTATTTGAGCAAATCTCATCGGGAAATATTGAGGAAACTGAAATTGAACTGGAATAGAACCGTTTTAGGTTTAATTTTTGTGGTAACTGATCGTTAAGTCATGAATACTTGACTTTCTCTGATCTGAGAAATTTCAATTTTTATTTTTTTCAGGAAATGAGACGGATATAACAGAAATCTGTGCACGTAAAGAGAAAGTCACCACCAGGTTAGTGCAAGAGTCTTATCCAAATAAAATTTTAAAAATCGCTGATAATAAGTCCGCAAAGATTTCATCGTACAATTCTGCTTGACCAAAAGCTGCCTGAATTCCTCAAGTTGAATCTCTATTAGAAAATTTGCTACTAACCACTATGAGACGCCTCCATCAGTTCGTATTTTGATTTAAACGGAACTGAAGTAGGGGACTGGAGACGAGTTTAACGTCCTTGCGCACACTCTCTTGCACTTTATTAACAGTGCTAGTAATTTTGACCAAGTCATCACGCGTTTCGCATTCCCAAATCGAATAATATTGATGAAACTTGGAATTTTTAATCGATTTAGTTCCCAATTTTATGCTTTGTAGGCAGTGGGTAGAATTGACACAAATAATGCAAGGGAAGAGTTCAAACCTTTGCTCCACTCATGCAGCACTTTCTTTCTTTAACTCTTTACACCCTTACATCTGTGGGCATTTTCTCTTTACTGCTTTCTGTACATTTTCTAAGGTGCTGACAAGGAGAATTGGTTTATCAATCAAGAGAATATTTAGTTGGTAATCATTTCCTTTTTTTTCATAACCTTACCATATGATGCAGGTTTTATACTGCTGGGAGAAATTAGATGTTAGTCACTCTCAGGGGCTAAAGAGTTAATGGATCATCTGGAGAGAATCGCATAATTCATATACCTTGCACTATCCAGACATCAACCCACATTTCCTTGAAGATTATTGTGGCAACTAAGACTTAGGAGGGTTTCTTCCAAATGTCTTAGTCTCAAGCCCCCTATTTACGCAAACCCTTACCACCTGTGTAAATTGTTAAGCCCATATTACCCTGAAAGTTTCTTTCCAATCATAAATGTTATCAAGCTGTTGCTATATTCATTTTTCCTTAAAATGATGTTCATCAGAATTGAAATAGATGATATTTGCAGGAAAAATTTTTTTTCCCCTTACCATTTCATGCCCTGTAGAAACCAAAAGTAGAAATAAATTGCACAAAACAATAGAGCAAATGCTACTTTTAATGAATGCTTGTCAAAAGAAAACAAAATTCAACAGAGGGATGGTAAATGACCTTGTCCCCAATGATGGAACCTATCACAGCATTCAGAAGTAATCAAGCCATATCCATTGGATTAAAACATGTTCTTGATGCTCTAACAACATGTTCCATATTAGAGATTGTGTTGTTAAAAATCCAGGAACTTCTCATGCAAAACTTGTTGCAGTTGGTGGAGCAAATCAAGTCCACTGTTGTAATTCCATAGGTTGAAAGCAATCATGTCTGTCTGAGCACACACAGGTACAGGATATAAACATGGGTCAGGCACCATCCATTCTGCTGAGTCTGTATTTAATTAGATCTTGCTCGCATCTTTCTTCGTTTACGCTTTAACCTGTGGCAAATGAATATTGAAATGATCCCAAAATTATTTAAAACCACCTATTCCCTACCATAAATTTGTTACCTGCCATTATGCACCTCGAATGGAGGGGATGGGGACCCCACTTGGACGACCCTGCGTGAATTTGACATTACCATTTTTTGTTCGTACAAGACATTATTATCCACTGTGGATTATTCATCATATGTCAAAATTCCACAAAGTTGCTCCCTTGAACAACCAGATCTCCATGAATTGAAAATAAGAAAGAGGAAACTGGAGTGCATGGTATACAGATTGACTCTTGTATCAGAGATACTCTAAACCATGCTCTAATTGAAAGTCAAGTAAGCCTTGCTGAACACTTAACCCTTCCACTCCCACGATCTCATTAGCAACACTCCTTACTGTCTGCCATACAATTCATAAGATGTTGGTTTGGAGAATTTAAAATTGGATCCACCGATAATCCCCTAATTGATGTTTTTCGTTGTTTTTGTTACTAGTCTGATTGATATTGTAATGAGAGTGCAAGGAGAAATTTGGTCTGGGTCACTGCTGGGACTTTAAGGGTTAACTCCCCAAAGCAATAGACATACCACTACACCCCATAATATCCATCATTATCCAGAAAACAGGTAATGAGAATACTCAAACTTATCAGGGAGTTTTTATCTTGACCTAACACCAAATTCTCATAATTAGTTTACAAGGATATGTTTAAGTTCACAAGGCAACCAGGTGGACAATCAGACATGGTTTGATACCACTCTGGTTTAAAGATCTTTACTCTTATCTTCTCTTTAAACCAGAGAAGCATCAAACCATGTCTAATTTATGATAAAGTGTGCAGCAGCTAAAGGGGAAAATTAACAACCAGATCTGGGGAGTTAACGAATTAAATATATGGGAAAGAGAGAGGAAACAATAGAATATGGTAAAACCTATTTTCTCATTCTTTTTCCTTCAGAGCACAAGGTAGACTGAAGTGGCCTTACATACTAAACTTCTCACAGACAACTTTAGACCTGAACCCATCATCCCAGATCAGCACTTTTACTAAACTAGGCTATGCTCTTACGCCTTCATACCCTGTTACAAGTTATGAAACAGGCCAACTTATTCCATCATTTGGACCAAAAAAAGGTACACCACAACAAGCCTGCCAATCGTAACACAAGTCATCAAACTTACGGTTGTAAATAAACTGACTTCGAGTAAAACTTTGTCACCAAGATACGGGTCCTCAGGAGTCCTTTCCGAGTAACAGAGCATAATTCAATTGCCAATGTGTTACACGAGGATGGCGTACTACGAAAGTTTGTTCCAATAGGGATAATACACAATAACAGCTAAAAAAGTGACCTGAGGCGTGTGCAATGTCGCTATATCTCATACGTCTTGTATACATGGTTTGATTAGAGCGAGATGTGAGTACTATCTTCCACAATTTACTCTAGACATAACTGCACTGAATCGTTATCATAAACATGAAAATTACAAGTACTAACCTTCGCATACGCTTCTTCCTCCACTGAAATATCAGAGAAAAATAACAACATGCTATTAAAATTTGTGGTAGCAAACCTCATGCATTCAGAGGACGTCTTTGTCCTTTACAACAAGTATTTTTTGAGCGAACGGTACCTACCTTGTCTCTCATATTGTTGTCCTCTAGTTTTCTGCAAAATAAAGAAACGGATTTGACACTTAGTTAGTATCGATGGCCTAATAGTAAAGCGATAAACATGGATTTCTTCACCATTTCAGGGCACAAACCTTCAAACATGGAGGACGAAAGAGAACCTGCGTAAGGCAACGTGTCCCGTATGTAGTCCTGAAGATTAGATTCCAGGTTACAATCGGTTTTGTTCTAACTCCTCGGCTATGACGACCCGCTTGCACTGTACTGGAAACTAACACCTTCTTCCATGTAAAGCTTTAGATACTTTCATAGACTTCGCTAGGCCTGACTAGCTTCGGTGATATTTCAGAAAATATAAGTAATCAAAACATTTTTACAAATAAGTAATTACACTGTGCACAACTGCGACAGGAATTCAGAGTATTTATCTTAGTCAGGGGCCCATTACTTATGGGAAAGTGGGTAAGTTTCTATCGTAACTGTGGTATTGCGTCGGTGGGGGAGTGTAACAGGGTAATTTATTATTATCAACTGAGTTTATAGCGTAAATTGGCCACCGTAAAGAGTTTCAAAGCTTTGAGCTTTTAACGTTTTGGGCGTCAGCCCCTCGTCAGAGCGAAATATATCGATGATACTAAATTACATTACATTCTGCTTTGGTTAATGATTGTGGCAATGCAGTTGCAACAGAAGAAGTTCCAGAAGGTTCACAAGTTGCTGTTATTGCCATGCCCTATCACCCACTGTGGAAAACCGATAAAGGAATAAAAGCTGGCTGTCCAGCGAATTTTGGCTGTCCTGACGGCTGTCCACAAGAGAGCATGGGAAATATTCTCCGATTCCCACAATTCCAACAGATGAGTGATCGGTTCTTAAATGACCAGACTAATTTTCAAGGAAGTACTCAGATTTTTTAGTCTTCTTTTCTTTCCATGTAGTTGAGAAAAGATTTCGGCACAAAGCAAAGAAATGACATGATCTGATAGCTCCTTATGGGGTCCCACGCTCGCGACGAAACAAAAGAGAACGTCTTTCTATATTTTTACCTGAAAATTTACCGTCGTTCTTATTCCGTTAATTCAGCTATATGCGCCCAGCTACAGGCTGGACGCATGTCGTGCATCGACTTCCGCCTGGTAAAGTCACCGTCAGATAGGGGGGAGTCAGCGGTAGAGCATCGGAGAGCGGAATCTGAAGGTCTGAAGTTCGATTCCACAGGGAACTCAGAACTTTTTTCTTCATCCCACGCTCATGACAAGACGAAAAAACACATTTGTTTTGATGCTTTAAAAAGCTCAAAATTTACCATATTTCTCGGTAATGTTCCTGACCCAAAAGAATTGAACTTTTTCACTGCCTGACTTGAATTCCTGGGTTTTCTGTTCACTCAAATGACCATATTCGTTGAAAAAAATAAATAAAACTGCGAAGAACTGTTTTAAAAGGTTGCATTGGAAATTTCCTCAGCTTCTTTGGTTGTTTGTAGTCTCTTACTCAGACATACTCGGCACAGTCCTTCTCTCTTACCTCGATGTCCTCGAGAGGCCTGGGAGGGGTTCGGCATGAGAAAGGCGACGTTTCGAGTTTTCATCGGTCTCTCGATAAAATGTCATAGTTTACGGTAACGCCCTGATTTAAACAAGCAGCCGACGACCTAGCGGGGAGAGGGACGAGGTGAAAGTTGGCTGGCCCACACATAGGATACGGGGAAAGACTGATTGAGCAAAAATTAACAAACGAGTAAGAAACAATTATTACCTTCCAATAACGGTTGTTTACAAGCACCGTCCACCTCAGTAACAAATGATTCACCGTGAAAAATATATACAATAAAATTTGTTTCCATACGGAATATACCACATTTTCCATTTATTGCCACAACGAGGAACCTTGAATTATAAGTAGTATTCCCGCCATTTGGACCTTTGAAAAAATGTTTGTCAATTTAATAACCATTTATTCTATACTAATAAATGAATTATATATTTGATAATTGCACCTTAGTGTATATTCATACCGGGCCGTGACTGAAGTTGTCACGTAGTTTTTTCCCTTTAACTAAGGAGATGCGTTGCGTGACTTTTCGTCAGAACTACTTTAGGTCCTGTAAGTCACGTCGTGATTAGTGAGTGAATCAAACACCAGTGACGTTACATTAACTCTAGAAACCCCAAGATTGACCAGTATCTAATTTCTCCTTACAGTAATAGTACTGCTGGTACATCATTTATTAAGACCACAAGAATAGAGGAAATAATTGCCATAAGAAGCTTGGATTGTTAAACAAATTCTCATAGCCAGTGCCAAATGAAAAAAAAAAGTGAACAGTATGGAGAATATAGATACTGATATTAGGGTGTAAAGAGTTAAGGAACGTAAAAATTAAACCTTTCATCCCGAGAACTGATTAATTGTAACTTCTCTTCACAATTTCCATTCATCATCCAGAACACTGATGGCAGACAAACTAAACAAGGTGTTCTTGATGTAACAACAAATTCTCTTAACATATTTACAAAGAAACTTGTAACAGTCAGTGGGGAGAATTACTAATCAGATTCTGGGGGTAATAGCCTTAGATACAATAAAAAGTTGCATTCCTCCTTGCAAGGTTTTAGTCAAAAGGTCAAGAAAAATATTCCTAATAATCTTTCTTTTATCTCAAGAGATAAGGTGTGTAATTAATTTGAACACCCCAAAAGCCAAAGTGGGACTGATAAACCATAAGATTCTACCATGGCTCAAATTCACTTTGAAAATTCACACTTTCCTTTCCACATTGATTCTGAAGTTAAACATATAAGCTGTCCAAAGCATTTTTTGATTGTCACACTCAAACCTTGCCCTTTGTGACTCTATGCCAATACAGTCCCCATTTACAGTCGGGTTGCCTGGAACAGGCCATAATTACAATTTATGTTTAAGGTTAAATTGAATCTTCACTCGAGAATTTCCAACTTCCTTCATGCTCTTCCTTCCTCCCTCTCTATCCCCCCCTTCCATCCCACCCCAGGCTATTGAATAGCATGTCATTTAGAAATATTACAAAAATTTGAGAGGGAGAGAGGAAGCACCAGATAGTCTCTATTATCTTAGATAAGGCAGACACACTAATGCTTTAATACCCCATTCACACCAGCAAGACATGTTTAGTTTAACTGGGTTTGACCGAATGAATTCAGAAACAGAGAACTGAATTCTGAACTTTCCATAGGATCCAAGTAGTCACAAACTTGTGTTTTCAATGTGCTTAATTTGAAGTCGACTAACATCGGTTTAAGCGGGTTCTATGAAGAAAAAAGATTTAAACCATGTTTAACAAAACATTTTAAAACATTTTAAAGCTTTGGTGTGAATGGGTTATAACAAACTAAAATTTACCCATTTTTTTTTTTTTGCAAAACAAGTTGCTCCTACATTTCATGAGTTATAGGTTCTTGACTGTATAGATTCTACATCATTGCACATGCAATAATTCCCCCTTGTCAAAACTCTGTAAATTTAATTGTTGTAAGTTGGACTAATGATTTAGTCAAATTCCCATAGAAGCAGCCAATTTTAGGATTAATATATATATATTTTCGACTGAAGTCTATTAATTCATTATAGAAAACTAAGAGCTAAGAGCAGAGGCCCAAGTTTTCTCCGCTGACTATGGAACATATTTGCAAGACTCCTTTTGTGATTGCAGTAAGAAAAAAGGAAAATTCATACACTGACATTCTATTTGCTGATCAAATTCTCCCTTGAACATAATTTAACAGAAGTCAAATCAGTAAGAACAAAAGGTACCCTTGGAGAAAGGGGACCATTGCATTTGCAACTAACCAACAGCTAATTTAAACTAAAGTTCAACACTAAACACAGCATTTTGACATTAACCTACACAACTCCTACCTTAACAATTTGCAATAATACAATAATTCAATTTATTTCAAGTTATTCACCTTCTAAAAGGCATAATTTAATAACATTCAGTATGAATGGAAGTGTCATCTACCTATATTAACCTCATTAACTTCTTTCAAGGGTATATAACCATTCGCTCGCGGTGCTCCAGATTTACCTATGTCCTTTTGAAGTTCCTGTGTGCTTTGATTCTCACTTTTAATTTCCTTTTTTTCCTTTTGTACATTCTCTGTTGGTTTCTGGATTTCATTATCAGCCATGCCTTCTTCCTTGCCATGACCTTCCCCAGTTCCATTTTCAGCTGATTTGGTTCCATTTAGCTGCTTCTCAGAGCTAGGCCCATCTTTCTTATCTCTCTGTGTGCCCCTTCTTCTTGATGGCCTCTCTCTTCTTTGAGGTAGTGCCTCTTTGTTCTTCTCTTCTTCTTTGTCTGGAACATGGGCAGGCTCACCATTTAAACAATGATTACTACTGCTGTCTGCGTGTGTTTCCGCTCCATTCACGACAGGACCCTCAGGTAAAGATGTTTCCTTTTTGACCTCATCAGTCTTTTCAATAGAACCATTTTCCTGGTTTGTACTCTTCTTTGAATCATGATCCCTATTTTCATTGACTGCTGTTTTCGTATCCTCCTTGTCAGGTGAACCTTTATCAACAGGATCATTTTTAATGGGACCATTTTCAAGCTTCTCTCCTGGACCATTCCTCTTGTGGCCCTCTGCCCCTTCTCTTCTACCCCTTCTTCTGTCCCTACTGCGAGGCCCATCTTCCCTTCTCATTCTCTGGTTTCTTGGTCGTGAATTTCTGTTTCCTGACTGCACATCTCCCTTAACAGACTCAGGTCGTGGTGTGACAGCTTTATCACTACTCTCTGAGGATTTCAAGCTTTCATCAGCTTCTACTTTTTGCTGATCAAGATCAGTGTTTTGAGCTGCGGGAGTGTCTTTATTCTTTGACCCCTCCGTCTTGTCATTTGGAATTTCAAACCTAGGACTTCTTTGTCTTGCACTCCGTTGATAAGATCTTCTAGAACTCCTATTATATTGGTTATTATATTGCCTATCTCGTTCAGAACCTCTTGCTACAGCTGACTGGTTTTGTCTAGTCCTCTCAGGCTGGTGATTCTGGTCTTTCCTTCTTTGCTGATTTTGTGATGTCTGCTGTTTGCCTGTTATGTGTGAAGCTGAATTGGACCTGTTGTTCTTTTGGTCAGGTGTTCCATGTTTTTGTCCTTAAAAAAAAAAAAAAAGGAATTGTTAAATCACTGGTCATAGACCCAACCCTTATTTCTTGTGTTAAATTTTCATTGCCAGTAATAATCAATTTGCAATATATCAAATCTTCAACATATCAATATCGTTTCCCTCTTAAAGTTTTACACCAACTTTTTCTCTTCCCAAACATATACAAAGATAGCAAAGTAACATCTTTGTTCAACCCTTTAACTCCCTTGAGTGATGAAGACAGAATTTCTCCTTACAATATTATCACAATATCAAGCAGACCAGTGATGAGAATAAAGAGGAGATTATTAGTTAATCTGGTACCAATTTCTCTTAATTAACATCATAAGAATTGTGTGGCAGACAGAATGGAGAATTACTAATGAGATCCATTGCAGGTTACCCATGTCCAACATTTAGTCAGGTTTCCATCAACCTCAAGAGATCAACTTCATCTAAACATGTTAGCCTATCATCATTATTGTAAAAAGCTGGTTTCCAGTAGGGGTGTGAAATAAGTATAAAAGCTAAAAACTACTCAAAATATACATAAGGGAAAAAAAAAACATAACAGTGAAGTGTATTTCCCAAGAACACAACACAATAAACAAGACAGGTCATTAACCCAAACCTCTCCCCTGGAATGCAGCAAGCTAATCCTTGGTAGCTTCTGTCATCCACTTTTCATAAATAAAATACTTTAATCTATAATCAAGTACCTTCCATAGGTTCTTCACTGGGTGATGCCATACCCTGTGAGTCAAAAACAACCAAAGCATTTAACATAATTGTTTGTCCTAGAAAACATGAAAATTACAAACTTTTTACAATGATTCTTGCATTCCACAGACACATTTTTTTCACTGAAGTATTGGGGCCCTATTAGGGGTTATCTGGATATGACATTTGAGTATAAAATTTGATGGATACCTTATACTTAAATGTGCAAAAAAAATTGCAAAATAAGAGATATTTAAAATAAAGGTTCCAGGATAATGAACTGAAATTATGAGGATACAATCCACAGGAATTCACAGATTGCAAGATATTTAGGTCAAAAATGAATAAGATACAGATACTCAGGACCCCGCTAATGGGGCCTCAGTGCTGCCAACTTACTTGTTGCTGCTCAGCAGATTGAAGCTTAGACTTCACTTCTTCCTCTTCTTGGAGGGCTTTCTGTGAGGATACCGACTTATCCACGCTAGAAGTGGTCATAGGTAGACTGCAATTTGTAGGTGATGCCAAACCCTGTAAATCAAAAACAGTAGCAGGCCTTTAACATAATTGATTTTCTCACTGAAGTATTGAGGCTCTATTAGGGGTTATCTGGATATTAGATATTAGAGTAAAAAAATTTGAGGGATGCAGGATAACTTAAAGCAAGAAAAAAAATTGCAAGATAAGAGATATTTAACAGGGTGCAGGATATTCAGGTCAAAAATTAATAAAGTACAGGATACTCTGGCATCTGCTACTGGGGACTTACTTGTTGCCGCAGAGAAGCTTGAAGTTTTGCATTCAGTTCAGCCAATTCTTGGAGGGTTTTTTGTGAGCATAGAGACTCCTCCACACTAGAAGTGGTGACAGGTACACTGCCATTTGTAGGAGCTGATGGCAGTGGTGGCTTGAGTGAAGAAACATTTTCAGCTTTCTTATTGTTGTTCCTCTCCACTTTCTTCATAGGTAGTGATGGAGGGTTTAATGTTACAGGGCTGTAACAACTCTTTATAGGAACAACTATCAGTGACAAAAGACACAAACAAGCAAGTAAATAAAAACGATTGAAAAGTATGCAAAGGAGAAAATAAAAAAGATGGCTACGCTACACAACATAATAAAGTTGACTCCTGTTATTACAGACACCCTAACAGGTGAGGGTGTAATATTGAGAGTCAATAACTGGGGCTAATAAATCTGAAAAGATCCAGTGGCAAGCAGAAAAAACTCTCATGTTTGCACCCAATTGAAGAATGGTTTCTTTATTTGCCTTTATCATAATGTCGCTTTATATTACGCAAGTCAGGATTTTGGATAAAGTACTTAGGTGTGTGCATTGTAGTGAGAGAAAAAGCAAGTGAAAAGTCATGCTGGGGGGCATGAAAGTGTCTACATTTCTGCTACTGCGAGAGACTGTAGTGACAGGAATTTGCATCAGTCATTTCTTTATGCATTTTACTGGGGGACTAGCCTTTGTCTGCAATGGCAAGGTGTCTGTGATAGCAAGATGTCCAAAGGGCAAGAGTCAACTGTAGATTTCAATTTATGTAAAGTTCAGTGAAAATGACGTGTACTGGACCCAAGGCAACAATAAAATTGATTTGTAAATATGCATTCTTGATAACCACATCAAGTATCCATGAGAAAATCAAGATATTTCTTACCTTCACCAAAATTGGCAATCATTGATAGCAGCTGATCTTTGTCTGCCACAAAACGAGTAGTTCTGGCAAGCTCCTCATCAATTTTACGCTCCGTGACAAAATTCTAGTAAAAGTGTAAATTGCTCACAGTGAAAAACAACATCTTACAAAGACATCAACTTTATATCAACTCTCCAGCCTTGACTTCCAAAGTTGCCTTTATATTAACACTACTTAAGCTCACTGCCTTGAAAAAAAAATATATTTTACGTTCAGTTTACCAGATCCAACTGCCAACTGGAAGAAAAGAAGGGATTAAAAAAAAGGAAATTAAAATTTGCATTTGTACTGTGTATGATATTAGTTTGGAGAAACTGGTACTGGATCAACTTATAATCCCCCGATTGATATTTCTCTTTATTCTCATCACTTCTCTGCTTGGTATTGTATTGCAGTTGAGAGGAGAAATTCTTTCTTGGTCACTCAAGGGAATTGAAGAGTGATAACTTACTTGCCATAATTTTATGCCCTTCCTTTTTTAATCATAATCTTCTACATTTGTCTTAACCCTTTAAGTCCTGTGAGTGACCAAGACAGAATTTCTCCTTCTTATATCTAATCAATATCATGCAGAGAAGTAATGAGAATAAAAAAAAATATCAATTATGGGATTACTAATTGATCCGATACCAAATTCTCCAAATTAACTTGATGAGAATCATTTGGCAAACAGTAAGGAGAATTACTGACGAGATCATGGGAGTTAAAGGGTTAAGAATCATAGACAAATCCTATGTTGTATAATTTTTTTCGGTTTGCTATTCAATCTCACCTTTATTTCACTCCTTAACTGTGTAACTTCTACCTCGTGCATCCCTCCTACTCGGTCAGATTTAAGTTTTAATGCTGCTGCATTTTCCTGTCTCTGTTCCAACAAATCAACTGCAAAGAATCAGACATGTTTTTAATTACGTCACAAGAAGCATTTGCAAATTATGGTAGCCCTTTAACTCCCATGAGTGACCAAGACAGAATTTCTCCTCAAAATATCAATACAATAACAACCAGGTAAGTAATGAGAATAAAAGAAAATGTCAATTTGGGGATAATTAGTTGATCCAGTAGTAAATTCCCTGAACTAATATTGTAAGAATTGTATGGTTGACAGCAAGGAAAATTACAAATTTGATCTGGGAGTTAAATGGGTAGTTCAAATTTTGATCAGTGGACTATTCTGCAGTATATGTCTGGCACAAAAGTTTTACCCCTTATCACTGCGATGCAATAAAACTAAGTTTGATTGTAGGTCATTACAATAAGTTAACAACTAATTAATTCAAATCATGTGATCATTTTATTCACAGATTGCCAGTAAACAAAAACCCTGAATATTAAGTCAAAAATGGACAACCAACCTGCCTGCTTTTTAAATTCAGCCATTTGACCAAGAAGATGAGCTTCCCTGTTGTTCAAACTGTGTAACATTCACAAAAAATGTTAGTTTCACTAATTTACAAGTAAAAAATTTTATAAATATATCATACAATGATTACACTGACAAACAAAAGTTTTCAAGACATCCGTAACCCAACTTACCATTGCCGTAACTCTTGAAATATCTGAGAAATTGACTTAGTGGACTTTTCACATTCCTGAGAAAAGAATTTCAGACAATTGTCAGGCAGGTGAGAGGTGAAAATGAAAAAATTCCAACAAAGCAAAACTTTATAGATGGATCTTTGAACAAAAAGCATTTCAGAAGGCATATCCTTGTGCTCTTTCACTCAACCCTTCAATTCCCATAATCTGATCGTTAATTCTCCCCTCCAGCTGAGAATTTAGTTTTAGATCAAGACATGGACTTCTACCCTCCTCTTTGCCATATATTTAACCCCTAAACTCCCAAGATATGGTTGTTAATTCTCCCCTCTAGTTGCTGCACACTTTCTTGTAAACAAGTTACGAGAATTTGGTCTTAGGTCAAGATAAAAACCTTCCTTATGAGTTTAAGTATTCTCATTAACTGTTTCTTGGATAATGTATGCATTTCATAAGGAGAACTTAGTCATGCTAATCACTCTTAGGAGTTAAGGGTTGAGACTATTTACCTCCTCTAGGAGAAGTTGAAAGCGTGGAAGTGAAACACTGGAGCGTTGCAAATCCTTTACTGTTTTCTTGAGAGCATCAGGACCAGTAGAGATTGACCTCTCAACCTTTAAATTTGAGTGGTTGGTCTGACCAGAGGAACCTGGTGTATGCTTCAAGGTGGTCTGAGTACCTTGTGAGGAATCTGCAGGCTGGTTAGAGTTAGAGGAAGGAAGGGAGACTTCAGAGCATGATGATGATGAAGGTGGATGAAGGAGCAGAGGGTCCAAAGATTGGGGAGCACATTTCAGAGTGGTTGACTCAGCATGTATTGGCTTTTTGCCATTTTCTTCTGGTGTGACTGGTGCATCTGGGAAAAGAAAAATGATTCCTGATTAACATTTCACGGCTTTTCTCTCCCATGAGAGATCAAAGTCTCCTTACATTTTAACTAATGACAGCCTCAAACAGACAAGTGACAAAGAGTAAGAAATATTGAGTAATATGAACAAGGTGAAGATCTGTCTATATGGCCTTGAGCACAGTGAAGTGAAAACAAGAAAGGAAACATGAGACAAGTTTATCCCAATGTTATTTCTCTACATAAATACCAAAACCATACAGACCATGTAATATTATGTAACCACACCCTCAGATACAATACTTGTATTATTCCAAAACAATTTTTTTAAATGCAAAATTATTTTGGAGGGCTTTTTATTTCCCTTGCAAAGTCTAAAAATCTCTTTTATCTCCATTACATGGACAATACCTTCAAGGCTGTTTTGATTCAGTTGTGAAACTTTCTCATTGTTCTCTTTTATCACAGCAACATCTGATGTTTCTGGATCATTTGTTTTTGCCTGCTTTTTCCTGTTCCTTTTCTTTCTGGCACTCTGAAAGGAAAATAACAATTTCACTGAAGGTGACAAGTAGGTTAGTGCAAGAACAAATGCAGATAAAGAATGAAATAAATTAATTAGTAAATAGAATAAGGAAGATGTTAAGTTTTGAGCTTGGTAGAGAAATGGAGAGAGATGTTTTCATGTCTTGTCACAAGCGTGGGATGAAGAAAAAATTCTAAGTCCCCATGAAGGAGGAATTGAACCCCAGAACTTTGGATTCTGTGCTCTGATGCTCAACCACTGAGCCACAGAGACTCTATGGTGAGCAAGGCCCATCACAAAGTTCATATATGACACACATCCTTTATACTGTGAGGATCAGCAAGGTCGTTAGCATCATGTTTTTTTAAAAGAATAAGACAGATGGTAAGTTTTAAGTAGGAATAAGAGAACAAGGGAAGCCCATGGCCACCCACTTTTTGCATTAAAAGGAAAAAGAAGACAAATGCAGTGGCATTAATGCATGGTTACAAGTAAAGTGTAGTTTAGATGACTATGCCGAAAAAATAGACAAACAAACAAAACTGACTTCATGATTGCTTGAAAGTGAGAAAAACCTTTTGACTTGAAAACTATATATATTCCAAAATGCACCATATGGCAACAGATTGTATTTGAATTTTCAAAATTTAACCCTTTAACCCCCAAGATCTAATTGGTAATGCTCTCCTCTAGCTGCTACACATATCCTTATAAATTAGTTATGAGAATTTGGTTGTTAGATCAAGACAACTTCTACCTAATAAGTTTGAATATTCTCATTAGCTGTTTACTGAATAATGTAAGTATGTTATTGGGAGAAGTTTCATATTGATCACTTCTAGGAGTTAAAGGGTTTAGGGAAGGATGACTCTTGATTCCCTTTCAGCCTATTATAACCCTTTAACTCCCATGAGTGACCAAGACAGAATTTCTCCTTACAATATCAATACAATATCAAGCAGACAAATGATGAGAATAAAGAAAAATATCAAGAAGGGAATTATAAGTTGATCAAAAATCAAATTCTCCAAACTAACATCACAAGAACTGTATGGCAGACAGCAAGGAAAGTTACTGAAGAGATTTTGGGAGTAAAAGGGGGGATATAGCACAACTACTGCTGTTAATGGACCCCATCACTTAAAAATTTGTTGCAAAGGCCTGATATTGACCTTAAAATAGTAAAAAATACCATGGTTGTGTTGTTGGAATTGTGAGACCTATAACTGATGCCTGCTTAAATCTAAGCAGAAAAAAAAGGGTCACCAGAAGGTAACCATTATTATGTCATTCAGAGAAACCAACATGGCTCTAAAAAATTTCAACCGACGAATCGCTCTTTTTTTCCCTTATCTGGAGCATCGACCTCAGCGGCCCAAAGGAGCTATTATATTTCGTAATTCGACCAATTCCGGAAGTTGCTGACGATGGAAAACCTTCGTTTTCTTAACGGGTTTTACAAGGCATCTGATTAATACTTCAATCGTTCGTAACATGAAACTTTGATCAATGTATTCTGAGACGTAGATTGATTAGCGATGGCCCAAGAATACATACCGTAGTAGATTTCTTCGAAGCGAGGGAGTAATGCGCATTGCAAGACACCCAGATTTTCCGGCAGAGAGGAAAGTGAATACCTCAACTGACGTTTCATTTTGTTTCGGGCACTTTATTAGCTTAGAAATGCTGAAGAAATCTATAGCGAAAAAAAACCAGAGACAAGACTCCCTAATCACTGAGGAAAATCGTCTTAAAATTCATCTGAACTTAGATATCGAGTGACCCATTTAAATATTTAATACAAACTTTAACATCGCAGTGACGTGACAAAAATTATTCATAAACCTGAAAAAAAATTATTTAAAAAGCGGCAAAAAGTTATTTCAATTTCTTACTTTTGACTTCTTTCCCTGGGTATTCCACTCTTTTAAGAGGTTATCGGCTTCTCCTAAAAGACAAGGAATTACATGAGAATATATTGACGAAAATTGTTGGAATTTAACATTCTTCTATGCGTAGAAACGGAGTGTTCTTGTGTCCACAGCGACTGATACTTTCCAAGTTTTGTTTCGCTTTTTGAAAATAAGCCCTCCTGTTTCGTATCAAATCACAACTACCCATCTAAAGTTTCGACTCTCTCTGTTTCAAACCGTTCGTTTAGGAAAACGAAAAAAAATCCCACCGTTGGTAAAGCAGGCGATAGCAGCTTCGACGTCGTAATCACAGGACTGCAGAACCAAAGTTATGTCATCTTTACTTCGGAACGGGAAAGCTTCGCGGATGAAGCCAATCTGTAATGACAGCAACATGTAAACGTAAGAGGCACAGAATAAATATAGATTTATTCACGGGTCAGCTAAATACGATGACTGACAAAGAACTTACTTCGGTCTTAGCATTAACGGAACTCCGTTCGGCGAAATTCAAGTCTGCAAGAACTCGACCACTTCGAGTGTCGAAGAAGTCCTTTCCTAGAACGCAAAGGACATGAAATATGGTTTCAAATTTCCACCCCAAGTTTTCTACGAAAACGATCCTATTTCTTAGTAAATGGGAATTTTACGAACCTTGTTTCGCGGAGACTTTCTTCGCCATTTTCTTGCGGGGATATCGCCACCGGTGTAAGCGGTCTAACTTACAACTGCTGAGACCAGAAAACTAGCCGTTTTGATTGACAGAACAATTCTCCTTTCCAATCGATAATAAGAGTATTTCTTTCGATCAGTACCACATGAATTATTGATTTCCAAACCCCGCCGGCATCGTTGCTTTCTTGTATTTAAACGTTCTACAGAGTGTAAGAAATGATTCTTCAAAATGACAGGAGCAATTTTTTAATCATTACCAGAACATTCTGGGAAGAAAAAAAATTCTAAAATTTATTTAATAGGTATTTTCTCATTACCAGTCTGGTTGTCATGTCAGCTGAGTTTGCAAGACACCTACTGCGTTTACCTTAACTGTTAGGTTCTTTGTTCCAATCACGGCATTCTTTTTCAGATGATCGTCTTACAAACAAGCAGATTCCATCTTCCCAAAACAAACAATCCCGTTTACAAGAACAAAATATGTAAGGTGATTTTATGAATTATTTACATCAATGACCCTTTTGTTCAATACACTGATTTACGCAGTACGCTGATAGAAGGAAATCAATCATCATTGTGTATGCTGCATACGATGAACTACTATATTTATCACAGCACGTAAATTGAATTATTTCTTAAAAAAACTTACTTTCGGATGAAAAACTTTCTCTATTGTCAAATTATTTTCATTAAGATTCGCTGGATAATTACATGTTTTATTTTCTACACCTTCGCGTGACCTGAGACACATGACTGGTGGTCTTCACACTTGAGAAAGCACAAACGATAACGCAAGATTCTTATCGTAGAATTTTTTTCTATCTCAAACAAAGAAACTCAAGTGATCAAACCATTTTAATAATCTTTTGCTATTCTCTTCAAATAAAGGTGTAAAATCGTTTCTGAGTGATGTTATACTTTTCACTTTCTAAATTGCCATACCGTTTTGATGGAAAGCGGGCTTTCTTAGTTGCGTTTCTAGATAAATAGTTTCTCTGTTGGAAATCGCGTGCCCTAGCTATATCTTATAACATTTATTTTATCTCTGCTACATCACCGTTAGATGGTTAACCCGCAATTGCCCACAAGTCAAAGAGAGGTTTGTATGTTGCAACTTGTAACCATAAAAATTCGTTTAATTTTGATGTGGCCTCCTTCAAAATGGTTAAGGAAATCGATAAATTTTTAATAGACACAGCAGGACCCAAATTGTGTCACAGGGTCACCTGTGTCAAAAGCCAAACCACAAGTACAGCATGTTTTTATTATTATTATAATTATTGATATGATTATTATCATTATTATTGTTTTCTTGTTGTTTTTTTAAAGATACACGAAACAACATTTGTGAGGTGGCCCATTCCGTAATCTGTACAATTCTATCAGCTTCACAATACAGCTGCTACTCCCTAGAACATTCAGATGAAGAAAATACTAAACTGCATACTGAATAGAGAGTTTTCAGAGGTGATCTTTAACCCACTCTCTTCTCTCAGTATAAAACCCTATTGAATAAATTTCAGTTGTTCTGATTTGCTGAACCATGCCTGCTCAAATAGGTTCCTTGTGCAAATTGTAGAAGATAAAAATATTTGGTGTAAACACCTCCACTGAATGGATTTAGTTGAAATTTTGCCTTTGCATCTCTGTTTTAAGCTCTGCATGAGTAAGTCCCTTCCCTCTTGTGATGTGTTCCAGTCATTAACACCCTCCCTACAATTCATGAATGGTTAGCAATAATATACATTTTTTTGATGTGGTTAACATACAACTTCTCCCAACAATATCTATACATTATCCAGCAAACAGGTGATAAGAATATTCAAACATATGACATAAAAGTTGTTTCCTTGATCAAAAACCAAATTTTAAGAACTAATATACAAGGAAATGTGTAGCAGCTGGAAAGGAGAATTAACAATCAGATCTTGGGAATGTAAGGGTTGGAGGGGAATTCCTGTCACATGATGTGTGCTCAGCCTGTAAGGTAGGAAGTTTCCCGTTTTCTTAATACAAGTCAGCTATGGTTAGCCAGAGTCATCTGAAGTCCCACTGCATGAAAACCACAAACCATAGACTGAATTGATGGACACAATGCTTGAAGGATAAAAATTTCAACAATTACTGAAAATGAACTGCTGTCACTTTCTTGTTAGTATTTTATGGAGAGTATGACAATGTAAAGTCTATGGCAAAAATGATACGACTGAAATTCAATTGATGTTTTTAGGAGGTATTGCAACCCAGGTTAGTGTTGAATACAATGTTAGTACATTACTGTAAATTAGGTGAGTATGGAAATTTCCTAGCAGCTTCCAAAGAATTAAAAACAGACATCTTATACTGAGATTGAGGTCTATACTGTAAGTTGCAGGCCAAGTTTTCCTTGCTCAGATTTATGGCCCTGGCATGAAGTGTGCAGGCCATAAACCAGAGCCAAATAAAAAAGGGTTCTGTAGCTTACAGCATAGACTGAAAAATCAAGGTTAGTAACTACAGATATTTAGAGAAAGATATTTTTTTGTCTTGTCTGGAGTGTGGGACAAAGAAAAAATTCTAAGGCCTTATGAGAGATCAACCCTCAGACCTTTGGATTCCGCGCTGAGGTTCAATTCCTCGGACTCACAATTTTTTCTTTGTTCCATGCTAATGATAAGACAAAAAATATCTTTCCCTACTTATTTATCAAGCTCAAAACTTGCCTTCTCTCTTACTCTAAAGATACTTATTATATCACCGTGTTCATAGAAAGAAGGAAGATTTCAGTTCAAACAAACATTGTGTTTAATCTAAAAGGGCCATTACTGAAGGGCTTGTTCAAGCAAGTAAGAACCACATTAAATGGTTTGAACACGGGGGTAACATGTAATAGTGTAGTTTGATCGTCCGGGTGAGTGTAGTCCTGAGAAGGACTCTTGTTGGTAGTGGTGACTGACATTTTGACAACCTGAGCGGAAGTCATCATCAGAGTCAAGCTTCCAAAGTGACACTGATGATGACTTCTGCTCAGGTTATCGAAACGTCAGCCACCACTACCGACAACAGTCCTTCTCAGGACTACACTCACCCGGACGATCAAACTACACTATTACAAGTAAGAACTGTAACCCAGATGATATTGTTATGAACACCTTATTATATTGCTTTTTGCAAAAGTTAGCCTACAACAAAAATGATACTATACAAAACAATTGACTCAAATGGGGTTGACAAGATGTTACTTTATTTCAATTTGTCACTTTGTGTGCCAGGGCATTATAAAAGCAACC